TTATTTTAAATTTTATTTTAGGGTAAGGTCTACTACTAGACTGTTCAGCGTTCTACTAGACTGTTCTACTACTACTGTTCAGGGTCTCACTACTAGATTGAACTGGTAGTGATAAGCCTGTTTACAGCCTCCCAAGAGATGTGGGGCTGGCACAGCAGGCAGGAGTGGGGGGTGGAGGTGGAGTAGGCCTCTGCACCTGTTTGCAGGAGCTTGAATCCGCTGAGGTATTTGGCCGGCCCTAGACACAAAATTTGTTACTAGGGGAACAAACTCTTGAAAACAAGAGGGCCAAGGACACAAGAAAGCCTCAGTGCGTATGCATGTTGTAAATGTGTGTGTGCACCAGTGTGAGCTGAGGTGTTTCTTCCAACTCCTAGATGAAGTTCCGCTCACCTGCGCCCTGGGCCCCAGATGTTCATACACTTGGCCTCTCCGTGTGAGCCCACCTGTCCCAAGGCTTGGCACAAAAAACCCAACTAGAGAAGGAGGACTCTCCCCGCAAACCCAAGCTTGCAGAATGCACCTGCAGATTGTGACTGACCGGGCCAAGAACGTGTGGGGGGGAGGGGGAGGGGGAGCTCAGTAGCTGTGTGGAAAGAGGGCAGAACTTAGCCTGGAGAGAGTGAGCTGAGGCAGTTTTAGACGCCCTGCCTCTGACTCCATTTTCCTGGGCACAAAGGGGGAGGGGGCTCGGCACGTGACCCTCCGGACCTCACACAGCAGGCTTCAGAGGGGCGTGCTGCTGCTGCTGAGCCCCAGATCCACACCAAGGCTGTTCCTAGGACGCACTTTTGCTCTTGGAAAGGCTCCACCCAGAGCTGATGATCCTAGGAAAGATGCTGTGCATTGGGCCCAGAGTTTCCCCTTAGCTGAACAGGAAGAGAGAAGGTCAGAAGGAAGTGGACCGCTCTCTTAAACCCAGGTTCGGCCCTTCCCGCCACGCAGCGCTCCTAACTTGGCGTGCGGCTCCTTTAAGCTTCCCCTCCCCCCCGGGAGCGCCGGCCGCGCCCTTCCGGGATCGGGATAGCAGTTCGGGAAATTCTCTTCCCCGTGCGTCCTTGCCTGGCTTCGGCCTGCGACCCGAAGCATGAGCCGCATCTACCACGACAGCGCGCTGGCGAACAAGGCAGTGCGCAGCGCGCGGCTGCCGGGCACCTGGAACCCCGCCGAGCACCAGGGGTAGGTGACCCGCGCTGGGCCCGGGGTGGGGACAGAAGCATCAGGGTGGGCGTCGGAGCTGCCAAAGCCGCGCCTTCTTCCCGATCCCAGCCGGGCTGCTAGGCGGTACTCCGGGCACCACCGGTTCTCGCCACTTGGCACACTGCTGTGTGCGTTTGCACGGATGCTCACGGTGGGAGGTGGGTGTGGAAGGTTGGGAGCCACACGCCCTACCGGGGTTAGGAGGAAGGGACTATTCCAGTGGAAATCACAGACACTATGGAACTGTAGCTGTAGTCTCAGCTACTTGGGGGGTGGGGGCGGAGTCAGGAGAATTGCATATTGGATCCTGGGCAGGGCAATTTACTGATTTAGCATTACCCTGTCTCAAATTAATATAAGTAAACAAAAAGCTTTGGGGATGCAGCTCCCCGTAAGTAAAGATTTGGGTTCAGTCCCCATATGGCAGACAAAACAAAATTATGCTAAGAAAGATTATACCAGACTCAAAAACAAATATTATAGGAGCTCACTTACTTGTGGGATTGAAAACCGTCAGACTCATAGAAACAGACAGTAACCTGCGTTTTTCAGGAGTAGGTGCTGGGGTGGGAAAGATGATCTGAGAGATGCAGCCGCCACAGGTTCTGGGTGCTCATGTACAGCCTGGGTGGCAGCGGAGGTGTTACATGGTTTAGCTGTGACAAAATCATGGCACGGAGTGGAGGGAGATCAAGTCAGCATGTTGTTCCCCTTGAACACACACAATTTTTGTCGGTTAAATATTTTTTTAAACCTTTATTCATTTGGCACAAGGTCTCATTACACAGCTCGGACTCGTAGAGATCCTCCTGTCTCAGCCTCTGAAGCGCTGGGATTACAGGCATGTGTCACCATACCCGGTTTTGGGCTGGCACAGCATGCATTACCAGGGATTGAACTGGTCCTTGCTCTTGCCAGGCAGGTGCTTAGACTGCCAAGTTGTCTCCCCAGCCAGTTAAATTTTTTTTTTTTTTTTTTTTTTAATTTCAGGGAGGGCGTGGGGAGAGGCAAATAAAGTAGGTGAGTTTTCACTTCTGCTCCCTACTTCCTCACTGTCACCTTTTGCTGTCCCCACCCCTGCCCCATTTCTGGGGTTCCCAGAAAGGAAGCCCTCAGGCCTGCTTTTATGAAAATTAAAACTGGGAAGTGGGGAGAGAGCCATGTTCCTCTCTGTGTGGGACCCGGTGGTCTTGGGTTACTCCCAGACACCTGAGTCTCAAGGTCTTCATCTGTACGTGACAATAATTGTTTCCTTGGGTTATGACCTGCTGGTAGGAATGGATACAGGAATGTGAAAATATTTTAAAATAATTGAAAAGAGAAGATAATGTATAGCAGCTCACGTACCTGCTCTCAGCTTGCTTAAATTAAAAAAAAATTATATTCAGCAAATACGTAGTAGTTTACAAAGCACCTTTGCATATGGAAGTCTATACTGTCGTCAGAGAGGCAGAGCAAAGAGGCTGTTTTTCTCCCCATTTTGTGGTTAAGAAGACTGAGGCTTTGGTCAGGGTGACTCCATGTCCCTGAAGGAGGGGCCATAGTGGGGTGTGACAGCTTAACAAGTGTTCCCCTGTCCAGCCTTTTGGGACTTGTAGAGGGATGGAGACAGAGGCCCCGCTCAGTACCAGGCCCCTGGAGGGAGGGGACTGTGAGACTTGCGGGTTAGACGTGCTTTGTCCCAGTGCAGGCTCCAACCTAAGCTGGTGGCTCTTTCTGTAGATTGACGGAACCACTGTCCCTCTTTACCTCTCATCCCCAGGGGAAACGGCGTCCTGGTGGAGGGAGAGCTGGTGGATGTGTCTCGGCACAGCATTGTGGACGCTAATGGCAAGAAGGTCAGTTTGCAGCCTTGGCAGTGGCGCTTGTAGCCCACTCTTGCCCACTGAGGTATCCCAGCTTCACCCACCAGGCCCTGCCAATGCCCAGATGTGATCCAGCCTCCCCTGAGGGGCTCCCAGGACAGGTAGGAAGTGGATCAGGACATCAGCGGCCCAACAGGCTGAGCAAGTTGATAGGGGACAGGTAGAGGCTGTGCTAGGCAGCAGACACGGAGGAGGGTCTGGGTCACAGCTGAGAAGGCAGGCAGGCCCAGCATTGCACCCTGCCTTGCACCCAGCCTGGCCTGCATGTGCAGTCTGCCCTGCTGGCCCTGCCTGGGCCTTCAGTCCCTGTGTCGATGTTCCCTTTGTCCCGGGATGATGCTCGTTATCATGAGTGCCCGTGGGCAGGCCTTGCACTTCTCTTCCTGCACTGGCCAGCCTGTCCCTGAGCCCTGGTGCTGAACTTCCACCTCTCTTTACAGTGGCCCCACCTTATCTCCTTGGTCTCTGTGATTCAGCTCATCCAAATGTCCTCTCAAGGGGGGACAGAGGTCAGGTGTTGCACAGAGCTTGGGTTTCTGTCCTGTATTCCATGGAAGCAGCCTTTCCTCCCAGTTCTCAGATTTGCCCTGAGATGCTGTGCCCCACCCGCCTCTCTTTACACATGTGTTACCAGGTGGACACACCCATACAGCTTGCCTGGGAGAGCCTGGTGTTGTCCTGATGGGTGCTGGTCAGGTGAGGCTGTCCTCGCACACCAGGGCCCCTGCCCACCCCTCTCGCAACCTCTCGGACCCCTTCCTTTCTGATGACTTCAGCCACCAGCTTGCAGGCCCCTCTGCCTTTCTGCCCCTGGTGAGCAGTGCCGTGTGGTTCCTAATAAAACCTTGCCACAGCCACTCCCAGAGCTCATCCCTGGCCTGGGCTTGCTTGGTTCCAGAAAGACATTGCTGAGGATCTCACTGCTGTCCCTACACCTTTCAGAATTCCTTCTTGCTCCCCAGATAAGGCCAAACTCCAGATGCCAGTTCAGCATGCCACCTGCCTTCCCTGCTCGGAATCCCATGAAGCTGCCCAGCACTCCAAGTGGCTCCCACAGGCATACAGGCCTGTGAACCCATACCTGGCTTTTCTGAGTCCTCCTACCTACAATCTTGTTTCCACACTTGCAAATCTCTGTCCTTTCAACCTCACCTTCCTTGTTCCCTAGGAAGTGATCCCTACTTCTTCAGTCTCTGGGAATATCTCTAACATCTGCTTTGAACAGAACAACCTGTAGCAGCCCTTAGAGTTACTTCCTGTTTCACACAGTGTGTGCCCCCCCCCATTGTAGCCCTGGGCCTACAACATTTCCCAAAGGGGATCACTTGTTCCCGGGTTCCAGGGGACGCTGAGGCTTGGGAGGCTGGGAATGACTTGCTCTGGCTCCGTCAGTCCCCTTCCGTGGCACCTTGTCAGTGCCCACTATCTCTGGCTGTGTGGGAGCCATGGGGCTCAGCCCTGGGCCCTCCGCAGTCCTGGACTCCTGGCATGGTGGCCCCAGAAAGGGTGGTGGGTACTCCAGTGACACATGGAGGAACATGTTGTGAATGGGGCATCTGGCCTCTGAACTTGCCTTTGAGCCAAGGTGGGACTCTGGGCAGAGTATGAGGCTGTGGGGGCTGCAGCCAGGGCTGCTGGGTATGTGTGTGTGCATGCACATTTGTGTGTCAGAGCTGGGTGAGGGTGACATAGCCTTCACCCTGTCTCTGCCCACCTAGGAGCGCTACTACGTGCTGTACCTACAGCCCAGCCGCATCCATCGCCGAAGGTTTGACCCTAAGGGGAAAGAAATTGAGCCCAACTTCAGTGCCACCAGGAAGGTGAACACGGGCTTCCTCATATCATCCTACAGTAGGTACCTGTGCCCTCCCTCCCTCAGTGGGGCCGCCTCCTGGGCGCCCAGGTCCCAGAAAGTTGGCCTTGATACTGGCATTTCAGTTCCTTTCTGCCCTACACTTGCCAGGAGACTTTCATGTCCCACCTTGACCCCAAGGGCTGGACTCATCTTTCCCACTCTTGCAATTCGCTGCAGCCTAGCAAAATTCTCCCCAGACTGGGCTTTGGGTGTTTTATGTTTGTTTGTTTTGAGACAGGTCTTGCTATGTAGTTCAAGATGGCCATAAACTCACTTTGTAGCCCAGGCTGCCCTTAAACTCATAGCAGTCCGCCTGCCTCAGTCTGCCAAGTGCTGGGAGTACAAGCGTGTGGCATCATGGCAGGCTGACTTTGGGCTTTTACTCTTCTGTGCAGGGCATGAGCACACTGTCATGTTGGTGGTTAAGTTTCAGTTTATGAATGGTGGTGTGGGTAGCCAGCACACGCAGACCGTAGTAGGCCCTGCAACACCTCATTCCTCTTCCAGTTTGGCTGCAGAGCAGTCTCTGTGCTGTCTGCCCTGGGTGTGAAGGGCTGGGCTGAGTGGGAAGCTGTGTTTTAGTCAGTTGTGCTCTCAGCTGTTCCCTTTGTCCCTGAATCTTCAGTAAGCCTGGGTCACAGGCCAGGCCTGTGTCTGCACTGAGGGTCTTGCACACGACATGTCCTCTGGCTGGTAGAGAAAGGGACAGACCTGGAACTGCAGCCTGCGGGGCTCTATCCAGGCAGGCATAGGCCAGGGGTGTTCTATTTATTTATTTATTTATTTATTTATTTATTTTATTTTATTTATTTGTGTGTGTGTGTGTGTGGCCAGCTCAGCCCACCAGGGGGCGGGGCTGGCTGGCATGTGGTGCTGGGGGATTGAACCGCGGTCCCTGCGCTTTGCTGAGCTTGTTCTAAGTAGGTGCTTTAGACCACTGAGCCATCTCACCAGCCCCCAGGGGTGTTCTAGAACAGGAAGCGTGGCACTCACCCCCGAGCTGAAAGCTGGGACCACTGAGTTCCAGAGGCTGGGAAGTGTGTGTTGGACAGGAGGAGTGGAGGGCACAGGCCCTGCCTGGCCTTGGTAATAGGAAGCTCTGAGTGCAGGGTGGGGCACTGGGCAGGGCTTGGCTGCAGGGGAAGCAGGTTTGGGGAGAAGAGCACTATTTGGGACATGGTGACCTAGAGTTACCCACGGTCCTTCTACTGGGGGACCTTGAGGGAAAGGTCTGGAACTCTAGGTGAGGGCTGGGCTGGCAGGACATGTAGGGTCATCAGAGGGGAAGGTATGGAAGTGGGCAAGGTCGTCTGGAGGAGGTGAGACCATGAAGTGGGCTGAGTCACAGGAGCTAGCAAGGGAGTCATTGGGGAGGAGGATGGAGGTGCCTTGGGATAGCAGGGGAGAAGAACAGGCCCTGTCATTGGTTTAGGGAGCTCAGGAGTGTGGACATCAGAGGGGCCTGGTGACCAGTTCCCTGGGGACACTGGTGGGGGTAGAAGGCTAAGGGGCCATGGCTGCCAAAGCCAGAATGCAGGAAGGAGCTGAGGGAGAAGCTCAAGGAGTGGGGAGCAAGAGACAGGTTCCCAAGCAGTGCTCTGTGCGTGTGTGTGTGTGTGCGCGTGTGTGTGTGCGCGTGCGTGTGTGTCTGTACATACATGCATGTGTGTAGGGGTCTGGAGCCCAAATGGAGGAAAGGCCTGAGGCAGGGGGAGGGACACCTTGTCCTTTGAGATAGAAGAGGAGGAAAGGTGTCATGAAGGCAGACTCAGCTGCCAAGTGGGTGGCACCTGGGCAGACCCCCATTATCTTGCTCAGTAGTGGAGGGGGCTTTGTCAGGCATTGGTTGGGGCAGACAGTGCTGGAGCCACAGCATCTGGAAGTCCTGTGTGAACAGGTGCCTGGGGGATCCCACATTGTGTCCCTGCTTGCAGGGACCTCTTGGCAGGCCCCAGCTGACTGAGGTTTGGGGACAGAGAGAGAGCAGCTTCAGCCCTTACAGGGTCCCAGTGAGGCTGGCTTTGCTCCGAGGCCTTGGAAGGCCCTGTCCCCACCCTGGCATCTGGAGGTGAAGAACTTGGTGTCCTCTGAGCCAGTCAACTCTGCTGAGGATGGGCAGCCAGCACGGAGTATGGGGCCCACAGCTGTGCTGCTGGTTCTTGCAGAGCCCACTCCAGTCAGAGGGATGCCAAGAGCATCTTGGGATCCTGGGAGCCAGGCCTGGGGGTCTCTGTGGGAAGGCAGAACTGAATGATGATTGTTTGAATCTTGCCTTCTCCTCTGCTGTGTGACCTTGAGCCGGTTACTTAGCCCCTCTTGGCCTTGGTTTTCTCATCTCTTAAATGGGAGCCTTATAAACGTGTCAACACTCATGGAGGGTTTACCGTGTGCCAGAGAATATGCCAAGTGCTTTCAAGCTTTATTTCGTTGAAACCTCCAGTAGAGTTTCTTGAGAGCTCTGTGGAATGGGTGCCTAGTCCTGCCCTACAGGTGGCTGTGAGCATGGGACGCTCAGCCCTCCCCAGCTCCCATAGTGCCCCAGAAAGTGCTTGCTGTCCCAGCAGTTATGGCCCCATGCTGTGTCTGCAGAGGTGGAAGCCAAGGGGGACAGCGACCTGCTCACACCTGAGGCCCTGAGGGGGCTAGTGAATAAGTCCGAGCTGCTGCAGCTGACTGAGAGCCTTACACCTGACCAGACAGTGGCCTTCTGGATGCCTGAGGAAGAGATGGAAGTGATGGAGCTAGAGTTGGGGACCCGGGTACGGCTGAAAACACTGGGTGATGGCCCCTTCGTAGGTGAGCAGCATGGCCTCATGCTGGCCTGATGTCCCCTTTGCCTGAGTGCTTAGTTCCTGTGGACCCAGAGTGGCCCCTTGATTGATTCCTAAGTCCCTGACAAGCGTAGGACAAGCCCCTGACAAGTGCTGCCTTGTCACTGACAAGTGGACACTGCCAGGTGCCTCCCATTCCAGGGTTCTTGTGATGACCTGGGTATCTCCTGTCGTGGGGGGTCCAGTAGGCCTAGGCTGAGGCAACCTCACCAGAACAGCTGCTGCAGGGACAGGTGACTTTTGGCTTATGTTCTTTTCAGATTCATTAGCCAAACTAGAAGCTGGAACAGTGACCAAGTGTAATTTTGCTGGTGACAAAAAGACAGGAGCATCCTGGACTGATAACATCATGGCCCAAAAGTCTTCACAGGAGGCTGCAGCGGAGACCCGGGAGCAAGGAGATGGGGCAGAGGACGAGGAATGGGTGCGGAAAGGGGCCTGTGGTGTGCCTGGCTGGGGCACGATTGTACCTTGTGGCGGGAACTTTGCATGTGTGGCTGTGGTTAGTGGTAAAATGAGGGATGCCCCCCCCCCCACAGTTGTTCTGAAGCCTATTCGTGGGCATTTCTCTGAAGAATATTTCACCCAGAGATTTGGATTGATGTCCAGAAGCCCCAAGTGGGACATTTAGAGCATAGAAGTCACAGAAAAATGGGCTTATCTCAGTGATGCAGTTAATGACCTTGGCCACTAAGAAAGTGGTGGCAGGAAATGAAGAGTTTGTCCCTTCTGACAAACCAAGGAGCAGCCAGCTGTTATGGTATGAGGCCAGAGCAGGTACCCAGGGCCTTAAGAGTATCATGTGAGTGAATCTATCTGTCCGATCACACAGGAGACCTCTGCGCAGTGTGCCGTGTCACCCTTGTCACTCTGCCCCCTTGCTTTTCTCTCTCTCTCTTTCTTTTTTAAAGTCATTTAGATTTTTTATTTTATTTACTGTGTGTGTGTGTGTGTGTGTGTGGCCAGCTCAGCCCACCAGGGGCGGGGCCGGCTGGCATGTGGTGCTGGGGGATTGAACCACGGTCCCTGTGCTTTGCTAAGTTTGTTCTAAGTAGGTGCTTTAGACCACTGAGCCATCTCACCAGCACCCCTTTGCTTTTCTCTAGGATGACTGACATCGTGGGCCATGCAGGCTTCTGGGCTGGTGCCTCTTCTGTAGCCCTCTTGAGAATTTTCCCCACCAGCTTCCTCTCTGGAGCTGGATGGAGCTGGCTGGAAGCCTTACCTGTTTCTTCCTACGACCATCTCTGAATGCCCATTAAAGGACCTGAGCTGCAGTCAAATCCAAGACCACAACTTTGGCCAAGACCCTGGACTCTGGCTCATGGGGCAAAGGAATCCTCTTTGGGTACAAGTCTTAGCTTCTCTGGACATTTTTCCTTGGTGGCAGCCTGTTTCAGGACAATCAGAAAGGAACTGGTGCAGATTTGGGGTACCTCAGGTAGACACATACCCCTGGTCTAAATGCACAGGGTTCCTCGTTCTTGCTCCTCCCCACTTCCCTGCCTGGGCCCTTTTTAGTCCTGTGTTGCAGCCTCTGCTTTCTTGCCTCAATCTCTCCTTCCCCACCTTGTACCGAAGATACCAATTCTTCATTCTTCTGAGCCATGTCCCCTGGGGGTCCTGTCCTTTGCCTCCCCTGGTTATTGTCCTGGTGCAGCTGGCTGGTCCTTTGTTTTTTTCAGTGTTCCAGATGGAGCCCAGGGCCAAGTGCAGGCCCAACAAGTGCTCTAACCACTGAACTGCATCCCTTGTCCTGGGATGCATTTTTGTAATCACCTCTGTTGTTGTTTTATACTTTGAGCACTTCTTATGAATGAGTACGTCTTCAGAAGGAATTCCCCTCCAGAGACAGGGTGCTTGTCAGGTGCTAACCACTCCCTGCAGCTGGGAATTGTGCTTAGAGGAGGGAGCATTTGGCTCTGGCCATGAACACTGCCTGTTGGGAGCAGGCCCACACTCTTGATGCTCCTTGGAGTCTTCATGTTCTAGGTTGAAGTCTGCACATCCATGTCTTGTGGTTCCTGCCTGACATGGGGGAAATGGGATGGCGACCGTGAACAAGTAATGGTGTATCTCACACAGTGCCAGGATTATTATAGCCACTGATGACAGAGTTCTTCCTGGTGCAGTCCTCGTGCTAAGTACCTCACTATCTCAAGTGTCACAGCAGTCCTATGAGGTACTTGTGATCATTAGCTGTTCTTCCATATGCACCTGAAGATCCAGGCTCTATAGATAGCCAGAGAGGAATTTAGGCCCGCACAGTTCCCAAAGCCCACATTCTTTACTACTGGACTGTTCTATTTCCACGTGCACTACCGGAGAAGAGAAGGGTGTTCTGAGAGGTTAAGCAGCCTGCCTGGTGGCAGAACCAGGACTCGGGTGTCAGGCTGTCAGTGGCACTGTCCTCTGCTTTCTTTGCCTATTGAAGGATCTCACACAGGGGAGCCAGAGGATGTGGCAGCCTGGTTTCCTGTGTCTGAGTGGAGCTGGCTTGCAGGCAGCTCATGCTGGGACTTGGCTTTGGGGTAGTCAGGGAGGCAGGTGAACAGAAAGGGATGTAGGGGATTTGCTTTGGTGTAGAGGCACCAAGAGGGGGTGTTCTGCTGCCCAAATACTGGGGCCAAGAGGTGTGGTGAACTCAGACACAGGCCACTGTTCCAAATGGAAGCCTAGTCTGTCAGTGGGGGGTGTCCTGATGTGACAAAAAAGTCTTGGAGGGCCTTCAGGAAGGCAACGGCCATTCAGCTGGAGTGTGGGAGTGTTTGAGAGGAGGCTAGAAGTTGGACATGGTGTCTTCAGGTCTGTTAAGTCTTTCGGGACTTTGGCCTGAACACCTAGAAGTTCATGGGCTGGTGGGGAGGGCAGCATCTGTCTTGCCTCTTTCAGAGCTCACTTGACACCAGAGGACGGGAGGCAGTGGGCTCATGGAGAAACTACTGCAGTTGTCTAGGGGCCACGTGACTGGCAATGGGAAGAAAACAGGATGAACAGCAAGTGGGGAGAAGGGAACTGGTCAAGAACACTGTCCCTACTTAGTGAAGGAAGGGGCCGTGGTATGGAAGTTCTGAGTGATGAGCCCGTTTCATGGAAGCCTGGTCTATGGCAGAAGTGGAGGAAACTAAAACCAGCCACTTTGGGAAGGGAAACCCAAATGGACTAAGGAGAACAGGGCTGCATGCTAGCATTTGGGGAGACAAGCAAGATCCTTCTTCCTAGGACAAGGACAGGAGAATGTGAAAGGCCCATAATGTTACTCAGTCATGTTTATAATTTTTCATACTTTTTTTTTTTTTTTTTTTTGCAGCACCGGGGATTGAACTCAGGACCCTGCACTTGCCACACAAATGCTTATTCTACTGAGCTATCTCCCTGGCCCCAATATTCTGGCATTTTAATAGGCCTGCACATAAAATTAGATTTTACTTTCCCATTAATGTTAACCACTTCCTATTGCTGTAGTCTTCATAACATCTATGTGTGTGGTATTGGGAATGGAACCCAGGGCCTTGCGCAGATGAAACAAATGCTCTAACACTGAGCTACAGCCCCAGTCTCCTTATTTTTTATTTTGACTTAGAGTCTGGCTAAATTGCCCAGGATGGCCTAAAATTTGGGAGTCTCCTATCTCAGCCTCTTGGGTAGCTGGGATTTACAGGCATCCACCACCACGGATGGGCTCATAATCAATTTTTTTTTTTTTTAAAACAACTTACATTTATTTTTTTTAAATGTATTTGGTACAGGGTCTCACTATACAGCTTGGACTCCTAGTGGTCCTCCTGTTTTCAGCCTCCCCAGGGCTGGGATTACAGGCACGCACCACCATGCCCTGTTTAGGTGGCCTGCTCAGTGTACCCTAGGGGTGGGGCCGGTACAGCACATGGTGCCGGGGATCAAAACCAGTCCCTGTGCTTGCCTAAGCAGGCACTTAGTCTGTTGCGCTATATTGCTGGCTCCCAATTTTTTTTTTAAAGGATGTTTACTTATGATTTTTTTTTTGCAGAACCGGGGATTGAACTCAGGCCCTTACGCTTGCCAGGGAAGTGCTTATTGCACTGAGTCATCTCCCCATCTCTCTACTTAGGATTTTTGAACTTTATTTTCTTTCATTTTTTATTAGTACCTGTTTTCAGTGCATACTGTTCACATTCCTTGTGTGGAGTTGGTGCTTAAGCACAGCGCATCTTCATCCCTTTTTCATCCTCTGTCCCTTCCCTCCCTCCCTCCTCTTGATCCCATTCCCCTTTGAGGAAGGTTGCCCTACTTCCTATTATCTGTCCATCATTTTAAGGCTGATTACTGTTGAATAGTCTTATCTGTTGTGGTCTAATACTTGGGCATTTAGGTTGATCTGGTTTAAAAAATGCTGAGAATGCTGTGGTCCCTTCAACCTGCTTCTCCCTACCACACAGTCTTTTTCCAGTCTTTAGGAACAGATTCTCAGGAGTCGGGTTACTGGAATCTAGGAATCTTTTGTAAAATTCTTACTGAAGTATATATATAATCACTCCCCAAGATGATTACAAACCGCAAATATGTACTAATAAAATTAAAAATTGAAAAACATTCTTGTATTGCCAAATAGCTTCCCCAGAGGGTTGTTCTAAGTTATAATATCACCAGCAGTGTAGGAGAGAACCATTTTCATGCCACGTTTGCCAGAATTAGATATAAAAACGTTGTTTAAGGTTATATTTGATAAGATGAAAGTAATACTTTAATGTATTTTAATTTGCTTTCTTCCCAATTAGGGTGATTAAACTTTTTTTTTAATTTCCTGATTCTATTTTTCTGTTGCTCCTCTGCATATTTATCTACTGGGAGTCTTATTTTTTTGGTTTATCAGTTATTTATCTTTTTTTTTTGTGGAACCAGGGATTGAATTCAGGCCCTTGCACTTGCCAGGGAAGCGCTTATTCCACTGAGCCATCTCCCCGGCCCAGTTATTTATCTTTGAAACATGACCATTTGCCATATTTTAAAGCTTTTCCATTAAAATATTTTTACAAAATTAAAATCAATATACAGCTGTTTATGTGTTTTTTAAAATTGCCTCCAAGATAATACATATTCTTTTTATTCATTAACTCTTTATTCCACTAGCCCTTTAATGTATGATAACATAGGGAGTGAAATAACAACTGCCTATTTTCAAATTGCTAGCCAATTATATTAACAGTATTTACCTCATTCCATTCCACTATCAAATTATGTTGTCTCCTACATCACATATTAAAATTATTTTGACCAAAGTATCATATTTTGTAAGTCTCCCTTTAGTTATAACTCAAACCATCACAATGAATAAAAAATTAAAAAAATTCAAACCATTGTAGATTTTATTAATAGATAGAACTAATTTCTTGTCACTGTTTTAGAATTTTCTTATTTGTTTATTTGGTACAGGGTCTCCCTATGCAGCATGGACTCATAGTGATCCTCCTGTCTCAGACTCCCCAGTGCTAGGATTACAGGCTTGAGTCAGCAAACCCAGTTTGAAGGGGCTGCCAGGGCATGCAGTATCAGGGCTCGAACCTGGGTCCTCCACTGAGCTATCTCCCCAGCCCATTATTCTAACACATTTGAACATTTTTTAACACTCTAGCTACAAAAGCAATATTTATTTATTTTTTATTTTATTTTTTGGTGGAACCAGGGATTGAACTCAGGCCCTTGCACTTGCCAGGCAAGCACTTACTAAACTGAGCCATCTCCCTGGCCCCAAAGCAATATTTATTTGTTGGAGAAAAAAAATCTGTAATTCCATCACTTTTTTTTTTTTTTTGGTCTTTCTGAAATGGTCTGGCTATGCAGTTCAGGCTGGTCTTGAACTTGCAGCAATCCTGCCTCAGCCTCCCAGGTGCTGGGATTACAGGGGTGCTCCACCATGTCCAGCACACAGAGGTGTTTTAAAATCACATATGTAGCACAGTTATGTGCCTGTCACGGTACCAAGTACTTACAAGAAGTAGGCCTTTTGTGATTATAACAACTACCTGGGGTACTTAGGATCCTTTTCCAGTTTTGCAGTTAAGGAAACTAATATTCTGGCTGTTCTCTGGATGAGGATACTTATCCCAGAAGCCCAGGCCATCGACAGAGACAGAATCAAGGCAGTGTGTTTCCAGAGCCTGACCTGAACAAACACCCCCATGCTGGCTGCGTTCCATCAGATACCACAGCTGTCACATTTTAGCGCATATATTTTAATGTGGACAAAATGCATTGTCCCCAAACATACTTTATGTTCATGGGGATTCACAGCATGATTTTGAAGAACTTGAATTTCTCACATTAATGTAAAGTACATTTAATCATTTTCTCATTTTGGAATAATCAGCGTGCTTCCCATTTCGCCGCTGTAATAATACTGCCGAGATGTACAGTCTGGAGTCTAATGCTTTCCGCACACAATCATTTTATTACAACCTCTAGCACTGTAAACCTCGAGTCTGCCGTTACTCGGGTCACAGTCTAAGGGCTCTTCCGCACCGCGCAGCCCAGCTCCAGCGCGCCCGCACCGGGTCAGAGAGAGAACAGAACCAAGAACGTTACTAGTTTGGGATCACCTGTACCTTCCACCTGGGCTCGCCTTAAAGATCCCTTCAGTGCGCCTAGATTCTAGGACCAGCGTCGTCGGTCTGGGTGAGGGGCACACACCCGGATCTCGTCCTGGCCAGGATCTCACTAGCGGAGCAGCGCTGTCGTCGAGGTCCACGCGTGGCCGGGAGAGCCCGCCCCCGCCCCAGGGCGCCGGCGAGGCCGGACCTTTCCTTCACCGGGGCTAGGTTTCCCGAAGCCCTCTTAGGAGGGCACAAACCGGAAGTGCTCGTGTTGTGGCAGAAGGAAGTGCTTGTGGGAGCAGCTGGTACAGAGAGGAGCTTGGCTGACAAAGATGATTCAGGCGATTCTGGTTTTCAACAACCACGGGAAGCCGCGGCTGGTCCGCTTCTACCAGCGTTTCGTGAGTGCGGCCCGGCTTCGCTTCGCCCGGGCAGGGCGCCCGTGTCCTCTTCCCTCCCCCTTGGCCCTTGGCTCCTCGGCATCCGCGGGCGCAACTCGCCGACGACCCAGGGCTCCTGCCAAGGCAGGATCCTCACACCGTTGGCCTCTTTGCCTGCTCCAGGCCTGTCACGACCCCCGCCCTTCTCTGACAGCTTGTGAACCCCGAGTTTCGGTACTGTCACGCGACAGTCGCTCTGCGTCTCAGGCCGCCAGAGAAGGCGACGGCGGGGAGCGTGCCTGAGAACCTGAATGACTGAAGTCAGTTTCTTTACTCGTTTTGGTTGACCGCAGTTTCCCGAAGAGAGTCAGCTTCAGCTTCAGCAACCTTTTTTTTTTTTTTTTTTTACCCAGGAGATTTGAAAATATTTTCTCTCAACATTAGTTTGCATCAGTGTTCATTCGGTCTGCCCAGGAAACGAATACCCTGCGCTCCATAGGTCTGAAGACAGTCGCTTGAAAAGTGGGGAAAATACTGTAATGAGAAAATTATAAATGCTACCACGTGAGGGCTTATGAAATGTTCACATCAAATTGGATTTTCCAAAAACATCGGGAAAAACACATCATTACTTGCCTCTTACCAATATTTTTATTTCTTTGTGGCTAGGTTTTGCCGTATTTAACTGGGGATTGAATAAAACCCAGGAATGGATAGAGTCGGCAAATTTACCTTCAAGCTTCAGCTCTACCTATTCTACTTTTGTGTCAGTTGTAATAGAGAGTTCTGGAAGGCAGAGGCAGGAGGATTGTAAATTCGAGCCACATCAGTTTAGCAAGTTCCAGTTTCAAAGGAGAGAAAGGAAGACAGTCTCTTGCAGATTTAATTCCTCTTTTGTCAAATAGGGTTCTAATTTAGTTTTAGGATTTTTAAAGCTTATGTGTGTTTTATTTAACAGTACATTATGCTGGAGGTTAAAAAATGAACATTTGGTATAACGATTCAATTTTATTTTTTATTAAATGTATTTAGTACGTGGTCTACCGGGTCTCACTACACAGATTGGCCTGGTAGTGATACTCCTGTTTTCAGCCTCCGAAGCGCTGGGATGACAGGCGCATGCCACCATGCCCAGTCTCAGTCACCGCCTCAGTGCACCCCCGGGGTCGGGGCCGGCATGGCACGCTGGGGACCTAACCCCGGTCCCTGCACCTGCCTTAGTCACCTGAGCTATCTGGCTGGCCTTCCCTGTTGTTGTTTTTTTTTCCTAACAGAGTTATTAAGATATTCATATACTACATATTTTACCTATGGCAAGTGTACAATTAAGTGGCATCCATCACAAGCAATTTTATTTTTTTTTATTTTGTGTTTTTTTGCTTGCTTGTTTTTTGGAGTCAGGGTTTGAGATAGGGCCTCATTATGTATGTAGTTCAGCCTGGTCTTGAATTAACCATGTAGCCCAGGCTGGCCTCAAGCTGGAAGCATTCCTCCTGCCTCAGTCTCCCTAATATTAGCCAGGGTTCCATTTCATGCCACTTCCCTAGAGTTGCTTCCATTTCCTGCTAGAGTCAGAAAAAAGACTTTAGCTCAAATAAATGCCTTTGACATTTAAAAAAAAGTGCAGAGGCTTAGTATATTTTATATGTCTGAGCATATAGAATTAATGTTTTATGACATTTGTAAGCTTTGTGTGTTCTTTAGATATAAACCTGGAAAATACTGATTTACCCAAATTTATAGTGACCAGAGATGAGCAAGTTTGCAGTCATCCATTCAATAAATAGTCATCCCATACCCTGTTGAGTCTGTAATTTCCCACAGTGGCATTTTCCATATCTGTATTTTTCTAAAATTTTTAAAAAATGTATTTTGAAAGGGCCGGCCAAATAGCTCAGTGAATTAAAGCACCTGCAAGCAGGCGTGGGGGCCGGGGCTCAATCACCGAGCCTGCTGGGAAGGCCCTGCCCCCCGGGTGCTCAGTTGAGACTGCCCTGTAATCCCAGCTCTTGGGAGGCTGTAAACAGGTGGATTACTATGAGTCCGATCTAGTAGTGAGACCCTGAACACCCTATGGACCATTTCCTAAAATACAAAAAATAAATAAATAAAATCGATGTTTGTTTTTTATTTTTTTGAGGCAGGGTCTGTTATGTAGTTCAGGCTGGCCTTGAACTCACTATATGTTACCGCTTGTGCATAGCTGGATTTAGACTGTTTGACACTGGGGATTAATGGTGCAATGCTAAACTCAAGGACACTAGAGTAGGGGTGTGAGTGCTGCCCCCTCTAAATAGCCTGGATAAGATACAGGGCCAGAGAGACACTTTTTTTTTTTTGCGGAACCGGGGATTGAACTCTGGCCCTTGCGCTTACAAGGCAAGCACTTACTCTACTGAGCCATCTCCCCAGCTCCAAGAGAGACACTTTTAAGGTCTCCCGTGGTGCTTTTGCTACCTTCTGCCTTTCACGGAACTGTTCTCTACGAAACCACTCAGGCTTGGGGCCAGCCAATTATGGACTGAAACGTCTACAAACCAGGAGCTAATTAAACCCTTTCTTCCTTAGCTTGTGGGTGTTGGGTATTTTGTCTCAGCAAAGGAGAAAAGTAACTAAGACATTATATAGTCCAAACTGGCCTTGAACTGGGCAGGGATCCTTCTACCTCAGCCTCTCAGGTACAGGGATTTCAGGCAGGCGCCACCACTCTTGGTTGCATACTTTTGTTTTCAATGTCTGATAGCTTATAAATAGCCATTTCAACCTCAAATTCAGTGCTATGGAAAGAGATTAAAGTGGGCTAGGGGAGATAGCTCAGCAGCATATGTGCCTGCCTGACAAATGCAAGGTCCTGAGTTCCATCCCCAGTACCACACACACAAAATAAATAAAAAGGGCTTTAAAATTATGTGGAGGTATATTATGACTCTCAGAGACAGTCCAAGCTTAATGTTTTCTTGTGCTTTGCAACTCAGAGTAAATCACACACCAGCAACATTGATATCACCTGAGCTTGTTAGAACCTGAGCTTGTTAGAACTGCAGCTTCAGGATGTTATGCAGGTCTACTAAATCTGTATTTAACCAGCTCCCCCAGCTGACTCTTTCCTTGTACTTCAGTATTGGCTTTTTTTTTTTTTTTGAACTGAGGATTGAACTCAGGCCCTGGACTTGCCAGGCAAGCACTTACGCTACTGAGCTATTTCCCCCGCCCCAGTATTGGCTTTTGAGACCTTATGTCTTACTGTTTTTTCCTTCCTTTTTTTTTTTTTTTAAGCCATACTTAGGAAATTCAGATGTGTAAGTGGAAATCAAATGGAAGTTAGCAAGTGAACCCCCTTTTTTTTGGTACCAGGAATTGAACTCTGGACCTTGCGCTTGCCAGGCAGGCAATTATGCTGCTAAGCTATATCCCTGGCCCAAGTGAACCCTTTATAGTTGAGCTTTCTCAAGTGTGGAGGAATTGAGTGAAGTGTGTAGGTGAAACAAAGTATAAGTGTTGAGCTCAAAATTATAATCTGTAAATAGAATTTTTCTGTTTTTCAATAATACTTTGGTGGTGTATTCTTACAAGCATCATATAAATAGTAGCTGTATTACTAGTACAAATTGTGTGTGTGTGTGTGTGTGTGTGTGAATGTGGGGATTGAAACTAGGACCTTGCACATGCTAGGCAAGCGCTGTGCCACTGAACTTCCTTTTTGAAACATGTATGTGATTACATATTGACCTTCATAAAGTATCAGAACCACTGAGATTATTTACTGGGCAAAGATGTTTCCCAGAGGAAGACAAAACACTTAAGGATTGGGTGGTCTATTTTTTCTTAGACTTTGTGTGGAAGCTTATTATTTTCCCTCCCTGGTTTAAATACCAGTTTACCCAGTTTAAATATCAGTTTGCCTGCTGAGCATGGTGGTACACACCATGTACCATAAAAAATTTTATTTATAGTTCAGGCTGGCTTTAAGTTCATTTTGTAGCCCAAGCTGCCGTCAAACTCAGTGATCCTCCTACGTTAGCCTCCCAAGTGCTAGGATTATAAGTATGTGCCACCATGCTTGGCTTTACTCATCTTTTGTTTTGCTTTGTCTTTTATTTTTGCTTTGTCTTTTTAAAGACTTTGTACTTTTAAGGGTTTTTAGGAGGGAGTTTTTTTTTTGTTTGTTTGTTTTTTTTTGTTTTTTTTTTTTTTGTACCAGGAATTGAACTTGGGGCCATGGATTTGCCAAGCAGACACTATAGTACCACTGAGCTACATCCCTTGTCCTTATTTTGTTTTTGTGAACCATGTTTTTTTTTCAGAACCGGGGATTGAACTTAGGCCCTTGTGCTTGCCAGGCAAGCACTTATTCTACTGAGCTGTCTCCCTGGCCCCAAGACCAGGTTTTATTATGATACCTGTGCTTTCTCTTTCTCCCCCAACCCCTGCCACAAGTCCTCTGTGCCACCACACCTGGCCTGCCACTTATCCCATTGCCTTTCTGGAAACTAGCACTATTTAGGTTGCTCTGGGCTTGGAAGCACTTCTTTCCCTGTCTGTCCTCATCAGTGCAATGCAGTTTTCCAGATTTTCCCACTAACTTTTCTGTTGTTCCATAGCCAGAAGAAATCCAACAGCAGATCGTTCGAGAGACTTTCCATCTAGTCCTCAAGCGAGATGACAACATCTGTAATTTCTTGGAGGGAGGAAGGTAAACTGCTTCATTTTCTTCCCCTTGTCTGTCTACTTGTGCATGGTCTTCATCATTGTGGCTACTTGTCATATACTTAAGTGTTGGGGTCCTGATGCATCCCGAGCTGGTCTTAGCAGGAGCTTTACAGGGACAGACCCCACCTTTTTGGGAAGCAACTCGTTGTTGTACTGTAGCTGCCACTCTCCTAGACATCTGGTTCCTGGGAGGACAGACAGGTAGGCAGAAAGGTGGGGTAAAGAGGTTCAGACACCTCTGCAAAACTTGGCTGCCCATCACCTGATAGACATGGTCTGCTTCTAGCATTTAGCTGTCTCCTTTGACGGTGATTGAACTCAACACCTCTAGCATGGTACGTGTGTTGGTTACTTTTGTCTTGTTGCTGAGGCAAAATAGCCAGACAACCAAAATTAAGAAAGAAAAGGTTTATTTAGCTCACAGTTTATGAAGATTTTAGTCCATAATCAGCTATCCACAAGGCAGCGTGGCTTGATAATCAGCTGGCTCCAAGGCAGAGTGGCGTGACTGAGGGGCAGCACTTCCAGGGAGCAGAAGATAGC